AAAAAAAAAATCAGTCAAGGGCGCTGGGATTAATCACTTCTTTAAAAGAACAGACTCCAAATTGCAACTAGATTATTATTTACAAAGCTGCTGCAAAGGAGCCTTACGTGTGATGAGGGGCATGATTTTTAAAAAATTAAATCCAAATTTGGTATGTATCTCTGAAATTCTTGGTAGCATGTGCAAAGGAGGCTGTCTCCACTGTATTCGTTATAAAAGCTACATCTAGCTTACAGCCATGGAGCATATGGTTGGAAAATGGTGCTCAGTGTGTCTGCGGGGAAGAGGACGAGGGTGGTGAGCTAGCTATGTAAGCAAGGTCATCAATTGTGGACTTTGTTGCCAGAAAGTTTCTAGGGTAGGACATGTTAACACTCAGAATTTCCCCAGGGTGTCTTTACCACCTGAACCAACCTTAAAACAACTTTACTGACTTCCTAAAGGAGTAAGCTTCTAGTCTGAAGTTTCTTCCCACTGTTAGTGACAGCAGCCCTCATCCTCTGGGCCACCTCACAGTTCTGAGTTCTCTGGACTTCACTTCTTTGGTGAGTAGAAAACTCTCGGAAGACAGAATGTCACTGTAAATGATATTGTAAATTAAGTCCATAGTATTAGATCTAAGTGGGACCTCAGAGCCACAGAATAATGCTCTCATTTAATATATAGATAAAGTAGATGAAGTCCAGAGACATTATGGGGTTTAGCAATTAGACCATATATCAGAATTAGACCACATATCCACTAATCTGGAGGAAAGCTCAGGTTTGGGGGTCTCGAAGCTAGGTTCAAGGCCTCACACCACCACTTGCTGGCTATATGAAGTTGAGCAAGTCACTAAACATTTCTGCGATGTTGATTCACCTATAAAATGGAGAAAAGAGTAATACCTGTTCTGCTTCCACCACAGAGTAGTTCAATCATTCATTTACTAAATACATATTGAGCACCTACTTTGTGCCACACCCTAGCCAAGGTGTTGGAGATATCGCAGTAAATAAAATATTTCACTCCAGACACATGAAGTCATAATCTACTGATAACCAGTGAGATAATGTGAGAAAACTATAAAATGACAGACAAATGTCCATTATTTTATCCATCTCACTGAGTTATAATGGATAAAAATGTGATGAAATTTTATTCCATAGTTTTTAACAAAGAATCATCACTGAGGTGAACACAATCAACTGAATGAATAACCAAAGCTTGGAACTTAAATTTATATTCTTCTTGGAAAAGTACAGTGATTATTGATTTTTTAAAAATAATTATTACAGGTTAAGTTTTGGCAAAACCTCTTCATAATATTTGGACTTTCTGGTATTTACTAATATTTTGTTATTTATATCCAGCTACACCAGACTACAATTCTGAAAATCCTGGCTAGCCATCTCTCACAGTAAATGAGAGCTGAGGCAAAAGTATGGCTAAATCAACCTAAATCCATGCTTGCTATTTGAAAATGTGAAAGCATCAAATCACCCACGTTGTTAGGAACTTAAGAGCATGAATATCTATTGAAAAATGGGATATTGTTAAAATGGTTTCATTCTCATGTGGCATGTGTGTTTTTCTTTCTACTGGTTTAAGCCGCCAGCTAGACAAAAATCAAAATTGTTGATCTCTATTAAGACCTACATCTGTAATGTTTTCAACAGTAAAAATAAATTTTTTAAAAAAGGAGAAAAAAAAGACCTATAGCCTTTGATGGCCCCTCAGCAATGGAGAAAAGCTCCCTGTCAGCTCTGCCTCTATTGTACTTTTACTTTGATTTTCAGCCTTCCACAAATATTCGACTCCCCTCATCTCTCTTGGGAAAAGTGAAAGTCCCTTGTTACAAAACCTACCATGTGAGTTTACCACTAGAGAGTAATAGGAAATATGTAGTTAGGGTTTGGCAATGCCACAAAACAGGGGCTGCACAGTTTTGAAGTGAGCAGCCATGTTGCCATAGATATGACAAAATAATAGCTTAAGTGAGGCTGAAGCCATCCACACTGGCTCCTGGATCAATCATTTTTAGTCAATTATTATTTTTTTTAACAAAATCAATAGGATCAGACACCAAGACTGCCAAAAACACCCAATCTATAGGCTTTTCATCTCACAAACAAGGCTCTAGAGCTTGGCTGTGTTTGGATAATAGTGTCCTATGATTTGTTGCCTATTAGGGAAACCACTTACATCTTTTAAAGAAACCACTAAAAAATCTCTTTCTTTATCAGAGAAGACCAATTTGTAAGTGCAGTTCAATTTCATCTCACAAATAGAAATTTCTTCAGAGAATATTGAGCTAAGCCACCCAATTCTGTGGAGGTTATAGATTGGAGCTGGAGGTGACTGGCTTTCAGGTATTTCATTCCAGACCTCTCTAAGGGCTTACATAACTCATTATGTTTCCTTCATCCAACACTGATGCCCATCTATGCACACATGGACACAGACAAAGCGATTACAGCCCATCCATGTTTTGGGGTAGAGGAGATAAAACAGTCCTCTTTGATTATTTACATTGTCTGCATAACTAAAAATGAATGCCTTTTAAAAAACATAGTTTTTGACTTTAGAAAACTATACAGGGTATGATGCCAGGAATGGAATGCAGTTGTAATATTTCCCTTGGTTAACAGTAGAATTTGTGTTTTATTTCTAGTTTGTAATTTTTAATAATTTAGTAATTTAACTAAGATAAAAGTAGAAGAGGTAACCACAGATTTTCATCAGTTTTGTGTTTCCAGCCCTTTAATGGTAGGTCTGCACAGAGCTAACCATCATCTCACTCTTCAATCTTCAGACGAGGGGAAATTTCACAATTTTAGAATATTGACAACCTAAGGTATTTTAGAAACCACCTAGTCACTGGTTATCAATAGTAATTTATACCACATGTGAGTATGTGGCAACAGTGAGAAAGGTTTCAAGTAAATTTTTATTAATAAATTATTGTTGTTAATAATAAGAAATTTAGAAATAATTTGTGCTTTTTTTCAAATCAATAGGATCAGATTCAAGAGTTTTGTGAAAGTAAAGTCACTGTCCTTTGCATGCATTGTAAGATGCCTTCTTAAGATATAAAGAAAGGGATAGAATTAAAGTTAAGCCAGTGAGAATTCAATGACTCCAGCATAGTCCATAGGAAATCTTGTGTTGATAAACTTCATGAATGTTGTAGAAGACAAAGACACAAAGGATTACTGACTTTTAGTACATTTTCTTAAATTTCCAGATGAAAAATTGATGCCAAAGATGGGAAATTATCTTCCCAAGGTCAGAGTTGAACTAGGACTAGAATTTGAATATTTTAAATCACTGCTCTATTCATTCCACTGCTTTGATTATTTTGATACTTTCAAATTGATTAAGTTGGCCAATGTACTCTTGCACAATATCTTTTTTTAGGTATAGTCAAAATATCTCAGTAACAGAAAAAATAAAAAGACAAGAATATATGCCTTAACTGTTGCATCGATCTGCAACATTAAAGTAACACCAAAATTTCAGCCATAGGGGCCAACCATTGACCTTCTCTTATGCCTCCAGAAGCTAAAGTCTTTATCTTAAATTCTACACAGTGATCAAAATATCATTTAACACTGAATTTTTTCCTACTCTGGCAAAATCTCTTTCTGACTGACCACATTTTACTCAAATCAAGCACTTTTTCTTCCCAAAAAAATACAATTATACAAGGGAACACATCCAGGTCTCCCCCTATGCTCCATACAATTTACAGAGTTGGAAAAATGTAGACATTAGCAATAAAAGATTCATTCTTCCAATAGAGAATACTCTTCCATTTTCTAGCTGGGAAGGTATTTGGGTAAAGCTAACACAAGGATCTACTATTACCTTGGCTTAACTTCTTAGCATTCAGTAATTTGGGGTTGAGAAATCTCTATAATTATTTTTTCAAAGGATAAAATAAATGTAAGAAAGTAGTCTTGCCTTTTTCAAAATTCTAGCTTTAACCAGGCAGTGATGACAATGACAGTTTTGACAGAAAATCTGGTTTCCATTGGTTTCTCCAATATTATATCCTCCCTATTATGTGTTGGCTTAAGCATGAATGTAGTTTAGGTCTGGCTTAACAAGGAGACACATTTAAGTACAAGGAGACCATACGTTTTATGGGAGCAATAAAATAATGATTCTGGCC